AGCCCGACAACGGCAGGGACTACCTGCCGGAATACCAAAAGGCCGCCGCGAATCTCTGGGGTCAAGTAGGTCAGAATTTTGAAGAGATTACGTCGACACTCGACAGCGATGACAGCTGGCTCTCGTCTGTCTTCACAAACGTAGACAGGGACTTGTGGTGGTACCGATTCGTGAACATCGGCCCCGACGAGAAGACAACCAGCACTTCCACCAGGACCGTGACCAGTCAGGCACATTGTGTGGAATATACGGTCCTTTTTGGCGGATACGCCGGATTCAACACGGACAACGCGAGCGAGATTTACGATCTCGCTTGGCAGGATGACCAGGGCAACGTGTTCGTCGACACGGTGACAGACGTGGCAACCGCGTTCACGACCTGGATGGGCAATTCCAGCAGTCAAAATGTCGGCTGCGGTCCGCGCTGCAGCCAGATTCTCGCGCTCCAATCGGCCGACAACGACACGGTGCCAGTTCCTCGCATCTGGGCGTGCAACAATACGGTGGGGCAGGTGGAAGGCATCGAAGGAACTGGCTTCGACCAACCGGAGCGGCTCACAATGCCCGACGACCAGGCCTTCTACCTCGCGGGATCAATCGGCTGGACCGGTGTCGAAACGGTGGACCGCGATCTCCAGTACTTCCGGTTCGACGGAGACACGCCCTTCAACCCGGCGGGCAACGCCACGGCCGAGACCATCGCGGAGCTGGTGATGAAGTTCACCGTCGGCGCCCTGTCGGCCATGGACTCGAGCGGGCCACGGCAGAACGTGACGGGCCTGTTCAGCCCGCGGCCCGCGCAGGTCGTCCACGTCAAGTGGAAGAACGCGGGGGCCATCCCGGCGGGGATCCCCGTCGTGCAGCTCGTCCTGCTCGTCGGCGTCGTCTGGTTCTCCGGCAAGGCCATCATCCTCGAGCCCAGCTTCATGACCGCCGCCCACCTGCTCTACCCGGTCATCAAGAAGGTCGGCCAGGACGGCTGCCTGCTCACCCTCGACGAGATGGCGGACCGCCTCGGCCACGACTACCGCCTCGCCTACGGCGTGCGTCCCAACCCCGCCGACCCGGGCCACCACGACACCACCTTCGTGCGCGACCTCGACGTCATCGAGGAGAAGGAAGGCTTCGGTTACATCCGCGGCCGCTTCCCAGAGGGGAGATACGACTGAAAAAAGAAACAAAAACTCTTTTGTAACACTACTGTGTATAGACTCCTTTGAGTGGGGGAACGAAAGAACATATGCAGACATTTCCCCTGCAATATCCGAGTGCAAGCGACGGGCGTGTTTTGTGTTGTCTATCTGGCGATTAAGCGATGAATGTCATGAGCTCCTCAAGTTTCTCTCCCCGATGTGAAATGAACATGAACCCTTGTGTCAAAATGTTCTCCGAGTGTGATACTAATATATACAATCGTGTGTATTATGCCGTCGCTATCGAGAGGAGCCATTTACCTAGTCCTCCTGCCTTGCTTTGTACTGTTCTATGATCTGATCCGGCTTTGGTCAGTAAAAGAGCCCTTCAGTCTATGTACCTGGACCTGGACTCCAAGTTGTATTCCGCAGTCAGAAACGCCCTCAACTTCACAACCTCGCGGTCAAGCGTGCGGCCTCGTTCTCTGGGCCACTGTCTACCCGCCGACCGATCTCGTCAAACTCGATCTTCTTCCCGGTGATGAGACTCTCTTGCAGAGCACAGCCGATCTTGACCGCCGCCACAGCCCCTTCGAGCCTGAATGGAGGCTCGGTGTTGTCGAGGCAGCAGGCGGTAAACTCGTTTGCTTCGGTGATGAAAGCTTCCCTAAACCGGCCGTAATAGTGAGGTGGAATCTCACGGCGGATGCCAGAGGGCTCGTAGATGTTGACGAGATTGGACATGGGTTGCGTGTTGACGGCGAGTTTTCCCTCGGTGCCGGTGATCTCGGTGCCTGGTCACACACACACGTGTTAGATGATATCCCGAATGAACAAAGTGATCTCGGGCGCGGGAGCTTGGAAAGATTGGACTAGTGCATACTGTCTTCTTGTCCAGCAGCCATCATTCTACTGCAGTACAACTGAGCAATTTTGCCTCCATAGAATTCCACGATCCCCAACGCATTGTCACGATCGTTGTGTTTCCGCAGTTCGGGAGAGACGGCCGTGATGCCAATTGCACTGACAGATTTGACAATCGAGTCTTCGCCGAAGAACCACAGAGCTAGGTCAATGTCATGGATGGAGCAATCCACGAAAATACCACCAGAGAACTGTGCGTACTGCACAAAGAACCCGGACGGGTCGAGCTTGTCGCAGGTCTGCGAGCGAAAGACGGCCGGGCGTCCAATCAAGCCCGATCGCATTTTCTGATGAGCGTCTCTGTAGGATGCATCGAAGCGGCGGGAGAAGCCACAGATGACCTTTTGGTCGGGATACGTCGTCTTCGCCGCTCGGTACGCCGTGACGACTGTCTGTGACTATCGTGGGAAGGGCATCAGCATGCAGGTAAGAGGACAACGTGACACGACAGGAAAGGAGAGACTTCTGCCACGTACGACTTCTGGATTTGTGCTGAGAGGTTTCTCACACAGGACGTGAAGGCCCTTTGTGATTGCTTTGATGGCCTGCTCGGCGTGAACGACGGTCGCCGAGGCGATGACCACTGCCTGCAACTCCTTCTCTTCCCTCAACATCTGGTCGTAGTCCAGGTATGTCCGCACGCCTTCCAGGTTTCGGGTGGCCCAGGCTAACTCTTTAGGCTCTGGAGATGAGACCGCGATCAACTCTGCACGAGGGGCCATGGTGTGGAAATGAAGCGCGTGACGAGATCCCATGCGGCCCAAACCCGCGATTGCGACTTTGAGCTTTGGCGAAGACATTTTGACAACGGTTGTCGTTTCCGTGAATTGGAGGAAAAGCTGAAAAGGGGGGGAAGATTGAAAAGCAAACGAAGACGAGAGTGATTTGAAAATAACCAACTGAGCAGGCACAAACACTCCCTCTATCTCTCACCCTCTCGTTCCCTCCACCAATGTACTATGAGCAGGATATGACAAGATCTGAGCACAGTGCATCAGCCTGTATGGTAATACCCCTGAGGGAGATTTTCTTTGTTGACATGGACGATTTTGGCGAAAATTGTCGTGGGCGGTGAGCAAGGGTCATTGGCGATCTTTTACTGACCTGGAACGTCTCCATAGTCTTCCCGTTTGCTCCCCTGCGCATCCTTGCCCCGATCAGACCGCGACCCAGACCCTCTCCTACGGTCGGAAGAAATTGCCCTGACGTGGACCATTGGGGCCGTGTTCGCCACATCCTATAAAATCTCCATCAGAAACAGTGGAGGGGATTCGACGACCCACAAGACTCGCGGCGAGAACAAGCGAGGCGGGGAAGAGGAGGATCAAAAACGGGCAATTCTCCTTCAGCTCTCGTACCCCTTATGCTTTCCCTGCTTCCTATCGCCTCGTGGGACCTCCTTCGATGAAGATACACCTCGTCAAAGTTAGCCCATCAACACTTATTACTCCCGTGCGGCCCCATGACTGAATATGGAGGTTTCTCTACACTGAAAATAAGCAAGAAGAGGGGAGATAGTCACCTAAAGGCCAAGAATGATGCGGACTACTTTCACAGGCCGAGCTAAGCGCAAGGCAAGAATCAGAAATCATTCCGATGGGCGCAAGAGATGTGTTCTCCCCTCGATCACCTGCCTTGAGGCACCCATTTTTTCTCGGAAAGCAGTGTGCGACCACCGAACCAGACAATGTCTACTGCCGATGCTCGACGGCCACCCGGTTTCCTGGCTTGGTCCACAAGGCAACTTTGCGCAGCTAATGCATAAAAGGCCTGCTCAAGCGAAGCGTCAAGGCAGAGCCAAGTAGAGACGAGAACCTTTTTGGGACCAGTCATCGTCCTGCGCCGGAGGAGAGAATGAACCAGTGCACTTCTCCTTCGGGTCGTGGTCGCTGGGTTGACGCACAGGTCTCTCAAGTTATATCATTCCACGGAGTGCACCTATTACTAACAGTCAAGGGTGGCCCGACCACACGATAGAATGCTGGACCATCTCCGGAAGCCCAGGGGTCGCCACGAGCAACCACAAGACGCTGCCGGGGACAGTGACGACGCATTTGTGCATCCCAGACTCCCCGGCATAATTTACTTGCGCTGTGGAAGACTACTGAGCTTGTCCGCAGATCGAAAGAGGAGCATGCAATTAACCAGCTGCAAGTGGGAGGAATGTTTTTCTAGAACGAATCTGGAAAAGGGCGAGAAAGCCACCCCCCCCCTCCCCGCATTTTCAGCCTCGCCGATAAAATTGCCCCCTTTTTTTGATAGAACGCGGTATTAGTTGCTCAATATAAAGTAAAGCTTTCTCCATGGCTTGATCACGGACTCCCTCCCTCCCTCCCCATCTCTCGTTGACCATCACTCGAGAACATAGAGATTCCGGGTACGCGCCGAGTGTTTTTTTTTTTTTTTTTGGTTGGTTGATCGGTTATCGCGAAGGACATGTGACATGTGACGTGTGCAATGTACCCAGGCTGCCAGGTAGACTAGATGAGACGCGGTTCCCACATCTACCATCTACCATCTATCTGTACCTACACGTACCCATACACGTACAAGTACACGAAGACGTTCACATACAAAGAGAGACCACTTTACGCGCCATACCATTTTCAGCGCAAGGAAAGAAAAAACATAGTCCTTTCTTCGACAAATACACCTCGGGGGGAATTTCATTAGCTCGGTCTTGTGGCGGCGATGATGGTGTGAAGAGACATATCCCTTGGTGGCCCTTGTTCACCAAATTAGGTCATCGCGCACCAAATTAGATCATCGCGCCCGTTGATACCCAAATACCCCCCTAGGTAGGTATGCTAGGTTTTGCACAATACTGTTTCCCATTCACCCCATTCCCTCTGGGGGACAGACATGCCTGTTCTTTCCTGAAGATCTCCATCCACGTCCGCCTCCGCCACAACCATCGTCGATCCCTCCAGATTGTGGATCATCTCATCCCGGCCCCCTCTGCCTATCTGCGACATTGTAATTATCATCTGCAGACAGGGCGGGCCCAAAGGTCTTGTGGCAGCGAAAGGACCAGAAGCGCGAGAGGGCGTAGGAGACGTAATTGTCCGCGTTCTGGATGGACTGGGACATGCCGGTGCGGGGGTCGGGCGGGAGCTGGTTGATGCGCATGGCGTTGTAGGGCCCGTAGGCGCCCTCGACCCACGGCCCCGTGTAGTCGGTGATGCGGTGGTCGTGGTCCGGGATCAGGGTCGTGTAGTCCGGCACGCTGAGGAACATCCACGGCCAGTGCAGCAGCTCGTGCAGCACCGTCGACCCAATCACCTTCATGTACGCCGTGTCGCGGTCGCCGAGCCCGTCGCACCCGAAACCCGGCAGGGGCTCTCCCATCGCGACGCCGCCGACGCGGCCCCACGCTGGCGGGCTGATCGTGTCTCTGATCGACAGGCGCCAGACGAACATGGGCGAGCCCGGGCACAGTGAGACCAGGCCCGAGAAGCGCGCCGTGGGGCTCGTGTCGTAGACCGTGTATGCGTTGTCGCCGCCGGCGCACGAGTGGTCCAGGTCGGCCGGGTTGAACGGGTTGTCCCCGAAGGCGATGCACAGGGCGACAAAGTCCGGGTTCCATGACGAGGGCAAGTTTGACTCGGCGAGCAGTTGCGGGACGTCCTGTGGAGTGATATCCATAAACAGGTCGACGTTGCTGATGGTTCTAAAAATGCGCTGCACAAACGTGTAATCCTGTGGCTGGAAATACCGCAGAAATGCCTGCCATGAGACAAATCAGCCAAAGTGAAGCAAACGGAGGGATCGGGATCAGTAGGGAAAAGGCTGATGTCGCGTCCTCCTATCATCACAACTTACTGGGTCACAGTCGGTGGCTGTTATGGCGACAATCCTCGCAAGCGTCATGGCATCTTTGAACGCCTGCGTGACATTTTGTCTCGCTCCGGGGGGGGCATTCGGCGGGTAGGCGAGAACCGGAGGAGCTGCGACGCTGAGGCTCAGGTTGGAAAGAAGTAGAAAGAAAAGCGCTGGTATCGCACCTAGTACAGCTTGGAAGCTCATCTTGAGTGTTGTATGGTTGAAGAGACTCACATCTGACAGAGACTCAAGTGAGGGTTTTCCATTCCTTCCATAAGAGGCAGACACACACGCAACTACTTAAACAAACTCGAAGGCAACAGATCTGAAATCGATTCACTCACCATATTCACTCGCTCTGTGAAGCGGGCCGGGCGAAGAGAGACTGATCTTGAATTGTTGGCAGAAAACAACACTGCGTTCTAACAGGCAGTGCAGGGGCATTGTGACAATTTTGATATTGGCCATACCGGAGTGTGAAGAAAGAAGAGAACTCTCCCCCATACTCAGAGTGACAATTGCGACGGGACATTCGCGGCTCAGTAACAGGTGTGTTAGTAGTTATCGCCCTAACATGCACGGACATTAGCTCAAAGTATGTGATTGAACAGATAAAGTGAATGACATTGGGATTCACTGGTGTGTATTTTGTGGCCTTTGTTGGTCCAAGGTATTCGACGCGTCTCAAAACACATTCCCCGGGCCCTTCCAGTTGAGAACGGCTACAGGCTCCTGTACCGGAGTCATCTTCATCAACTTGCCGTAAAATTCCATACTTCTCTCCTTTCCGTGGCCGACGATACACAGGCTCCGTCTCAAATAGGGCATGTCCTCAACGACTTCTTGAACGCAGCTGATGAGCCACTTCCCCAAGCCCTGGCCTTGCCACTCGGGTTGGACGTATACATCTGTTAGGTAGAGCAGAGTGACACGATCGGTGATGCAACGGGCAAAGCCAATCAGACAAGGTCCTTGTTCCTCTCGCATCGTCCCTGACGCCGCAGCATTGGCGGCGGCAACGCTGTCCGCGTCCCGTTTGGCATGTGTTGCGATCTCATGTAACGTCTCCGCAGGACTGGAGGATGCCGGATCAGTGCCCTTTTGGCCCGGGTCCGCGCGCACAGGCGCAGGTGGTGTAGGTGTAGGTGAGTAAAGGCCAAAGCAGAGCGAGTTATTCAGCATATCCCGCATAACCGGTTCGGGAAGAGGTGAGGCCCAATACATGTCCTCCGAGGCGAACGCCTGGTTAAGTGCGTCAATAGGGATCAATGATGGATCCGTCGATATCATGAATCCATCTCGGGTCCATGTCTTGGAGGTCTCGACGGAGTGAGCGACGTGAGACATTGTGTCTGCTCTGCTAGTGTCGCTAGGCACGAGCTTTGACTGTCTGACTGAGGCCCGCAGGCGAGGCTGATCGAGCTGCTGCCGGGTGGGAACAAGTTGAGCGAGTGGTACTTCTAGATCACTTTGTAAAAGAGCCTCCCTGGTACAAATGGTGACTACAATCTAGGTCCAACCATTTGAGTCATCAACCTCTTCTTATGGATGAGGCTCCTTTTTACCCAATTGAAGTAAGTTTTCCGAACGTACCTCGCATAGATGCACATGTTAGGACATACTCTACTGTGGAATAGAGAGGGATTTGTGACAAGGCTTAGATCCTATAGCTGTACTTATAACGACACAAACGCAACCCAATCCTTAACCTCCTTTCCATTTACAGTTCCCCAATCCAACACGAGGGTTCGCTTCGCTAGCCAGCTTAGTTGCAAAATCCATCATCTTCAGCGCCAACACCCCTGCAACAGTCTCATACGCAAAGTCCGGCAGAGGGGATTACAACTCGGGCTTCATCTCAATCTCCTGCTCCTTTTCCGAGTAAAGGTGCTCGTCAAACTCCTTTCCTGCCGGCCCAAAAAATACCTCAAACAAGCTCCTCAAATCCTTCGCCCGCAACTCCATATGTTCACCTGGCAAGCCTACGAACTTGAGGCCGCCCTTTGCATCCAGCTTCTTCAGGCCGATCCAATCCTCTTCGTAGATGGGTCTATCTCGGAGGCGTGTAATCGAGTTCTCAGTCTCGTTGAATTCTGCGAACCACGCACTCTCTTTTGGAATGAGAGTTTTGTCGTCGTCGAAGAGGATCATCACAAATCTTTCGAGTGTGGCCAGATTCTGGGCGTAGGTGGCATTCCTGCGAGCGCGCTCGTTGTTGATATCTGCAAGGTAATTGGAATGCTCGAGGTAATTGTCAAAGTCCTTCGTATCGCGGTAATATTGAGCCGGAACGAGTCTGGATTGGATAAAGTCGGACCAGACCGTGCTGCTCTTCAAGAGCGCGTTGGCACCTTGACAAATCCAGTCTGAGGCCGAGGCGCATTTCTGAAATTCGGCGATGCCGTTATGCGGAGACCCGAAAGTGATCAGAGATCGAATCTTCGGCGCCCAATCGGCGCATCTCTCGACGTAACCTCTCAGGAAGACGCCACCCTGGCTGAACCCGACGGCGTCGAGGGCCGGGGCTGTACGCAGAATGTTGTCGCTCGCCAGCATGTGGCAAACGGCAAGGATTTGTTCCGTGACGTTACCAAAGAACGAAGCCTGGCGATCTGCAGAGCCCGGGTTACCACCCAACGAAATGATATATGTATATGTACCCGGATGGATATTGTCCAACATGGCTGCAATCTCTTTGATACCTTTGGCATCGGCTGAATCCCCGAGGCCATGCCAGATCACCACGGGGAGAGGCTGGTCATCGTCAGAGTCGCCCTCGGTTGTCTTTGCGGGTGAGGCGAGTTTAGGCGACAGTCTTGTGATCTTGATCCAGTTGTCTTCGGCGATCGTCTCGATGGCATGAGGGGGGTGGGCGATCTTGGGAGTGAGTCTGAGCTCAGGTGCAGATTGTTCCTCCTCTTCATCAAACTTGGATGCAGGCGACCCGCCAATCTTGGCCCATGACCATTCGGTGTATTCAGTCGCGGCGGCCTCGGACAGCCGGTTGGGAGAGTCTCCAGGTTGGTTCTGGAAGACTTCGGCTTCGGGGAAGATGATGACGGAGAAGACAGCAGCGGGAAGCGACAAAAGAACCGATAACTGCGTGAGCCGCATATTTGCAGTCGTGCAACGCGTAGACAACTAACAATTGGGAAATAATGCGAGAACCAACCAATTCAACTGAAGACCTGCTTCGCGATGGCAAGGAATGAGGAATGATGTTGCCTTGGGTGCCTGCGATGCCACGAGTGCTGACTGATCCACTGAGCTATGAATCCTTAGTGACAGCGCATCCCTGCTCGCTTGGGCTTGGACACGTCAACCCCAGATCTTGGCAGGTACCATGTCTTAACGCACAATTGTACGTCATTCAGCCTCGACTCTACGAATGTGCGAACGGGAAATCCTTCTGTGACAATCTATCATCGTTCAAGGTGCTGTCCATTCTGTATACTGTCTGGGAAGAAAGAAAATATGTTCTCCCTATTCCCCCGACGCCAGCCAGCCCGTGGGTATCATAAGAAGCCAGCTATCCTCCCATTTTCCCTGTCCCTATGAAGGGCTATACCCCATTTTGACCAGTCCAGACTCCGTATGAAAATCAGTGTTTGCCTCATCCTAGTAGCCCCAGTCCATCTTCCTCCGACACAAGGACTCGCACCTTCTTTAAATCCTGGGTCCATTTCCTCGTGACATGCAGCCACATCTGCTTCTCGTCCGACCGCTTTTCTTCAACAAAATTCTCCAGGCTCGGCTTGGTCTGCCACTCTTCCCACCGTCTTCCATCTCTTACCAGCATCTCGCACGTGAGGTGAGGATATTGTGCCCGTGCCGACGCAATTGCTTCTCTGTCTGCATTCGCGCGGGATTCTTCCAATTGGCAAGGTGGACAAGGATGGTCCTGGTGAGGCAGGAATGTTGGCAAGCCCATATAATGGGGTGTCGGGTAATGCGAAGATGAAGTGCACGAAAACCGGAATCCTTTGGAAGAGAATGATTGTGAGCGACTAAACCTGCGTCCCAACTCGCCGCATTCTGAAGGTTGGCGAGCCACTCCTGGTAAAGGGGCCGCAATCTTCGAGGGTACTCGAGATATTGGAGACGACGGCGGCGTGATAGAGGAGCCCGAGGAATTGGAATCTAAACTTCCAGTCGAGGAAGAAGAGCAACCTCGTGGCGACAGGGGTCGAATGGTCGAGCTTGACAGTCTATTCTGACAGTTGTAGCATTTGTAGGGTTGTTGTGGGAGCTTCACTCCCGTCGTCTTGAGAAGCGGGCACGGTGCCAATTTGCATATATCGAAGCCCATCAGAATGCCATGTCCGCAACAGAACCGCAACACATGAGCCTTGCACATCTTGAGAATTGTCTTGCCTCCAGGTTATTGAGGTAAGATTGAAGGATGTTGGCTGAATTATGCAAGGAGTGGAGAGTTTCAGGGAGGAAAAACGCGCAGCTGAAACGGCGAATGCTTTGAAGGTACAGGGTCTATTGTGGCATTTTCAACAGGTGGCGTGCGGGCATTGAGGCATCAGACAAACAGGTTCTGCCGTCTCTCGAAGGATGTGCTGGTCGCCTGGGGGTGTCGGGTGCCCTGAGCGCGGGGGAAGGGAAGCGTCGTGCCCTGTAACAGCGCAAGCAGGCGTCCGTCCAGTGCCCGGAGGGCGAATCGCAGGGCTGTTGCTTGCAAGCTTTGGGCAGCAGCGTATGCAGAGCGGCTTGTACGACCCGAAGTAAGCGAGGCGTCAGGGCGTCATAAGACCCAGCAACTGCACAGCCAGAGCGTCGAGGGCCGTTGAGGCGGCCTTATAGAGGAAGGGAGCTTAGGGTCCGTGTCAAAGGTGGACGAGGCACTCAAGTCACAAAGAGACCTGAGGGTGTCTGACCATTGACCGAAGGATTGAGCGTTCCCACAGTAAGTGGCTGTGGCGAGCAATTAATACTATCGACGGAAACTGCCATGAACGACCGGCACAGAGGGGGCGCCCTGTTGGATTTGGGGTTTGCCAACGAGGGGACTCTCTGGGATTTAGAGGCGGGCAACGAATTAACGAGGAAGAATGCAATAGGGCGAAGGAAAGGAAAGGAATGGAAAAGAGAGAATCAGGCTAACCGGGCGGGTAGAGTCGAATTGACTAGGGGGAAGAAGGAAAGACTGAAAGATGCAAAGAGAGAAGCAACCAGCGCAAGGACAATAACGCATAAAACGGGAGACGGGGTTTGTGAAGAGGAACGAACACTCTCACCATCGGCTGGGATAGGGTCGATTGACGAAGGAGAATCACAATTAGTTTTTTTCGTTGGACGGATGGAGCAGGGGTGGAGATGACACCAATAACCCTTGTGGCCTCAGGGCGAAGGCAGTTTTTAGGGTTGCGAGGTTGCAGCAGAAGCGCGCAGTGCAATGCAGTGCAATATGCAGTGCAGTGGGCAAAAAGGTGGGATGGCTTGGATGGGCTGTGGGAGCCATGAGGAAGCCACTCGTCGATCGCCCTTTGCCCCTCGCGGGGGGTGGGATGTCGTCCCTCATTGGGGGCTGCTTTGTTGAGCTTTAACTAGCCAGGTAGCCAGGTAGCTTACTCGGTAGAGCCGCCCAATTCTTTTTCTCCCGCTTGGCCACAACGGGTGCGCAGCGGCCACAGCTTGGAGGCTTGGTGGGTTGGACCTCGCCCTCGCTTCTCTGCCCACTGTGCCACTCCCACGCTCACGCTCTCTCTTTCCTATGACGGAACTGACTTCGTCCGCACCGGCGCCCTGTAATTATTCTCGCGGGTTTCTTTTTGGGAGGTCCTCATTTCTATGTCGTTGTTTGGCAGGATCCCTCTCTGCGATATGCCTTTCCAGGCCCGCAATGGTGATGCCCCGACACACCCTTCCCACGGCAATCCTTGATGATGACGACGACACGGAAGAGAAACCAAGGCAAGAGTTGCGCTATTACACACAATTGCGAGATAGAATCGTGGGAGAATACGGTTGACCTCGCCTCGGAGAATACGACAACACGAACCACTGGGGTTTTTTGGCTTCGAAGGGTCTCGAAAACTCGGCCACTAAACTTCCCGCCACGATAACATGGGTCCAGACTCGTCGCTGTTCGGGACTATACAATGTATGGGTGTGCTCCGAGATGATTCAAACTCGCCCACAAAATTGCCCGGTCCCGTCGCATTCTTGTACGCGGACGGCTCCTCTTGGGTTTCCTCGGCCGTCCTTGGCCGGGTTGCCGGGCACATTCCCCAGGTAGAGGCCATGACTCGCCCAGGTCCCGCCAGGCAATCATCTCCAGCAAATTACTGTTGCAATCAATAATGTGTTCCATGCACGACGCACGTCAACCTCGACCCCAGAAATGCCACGCCTTCCTCCTCCACAATGACCACTCTCCAAACTCTTACCTATTTGCAATCTAAACTCCCTCTCCAAGAACCAAGAACCGAGTTGTGCCGTACTCGACCTAGGAGTTGGACGCAGACACGAGGGGAGTACCAGCCTGAGCTGGACTTGAGCGTCCTCCTTAATTACCGGACTGTTGCTGCCATCTACGACGGCGCACAATTCCCGTCCAGGTCCACATGCTCTGTTATCGGGTGGATACCAGAGACAGTGAGACGTGCCGCCAACCTGGTTTCTGACAGGCCCACAGAGGTCCAAATGACGGCATTAGCACGATAGCATCACCAGCATAAGATGGATTCGTACCTTGTAATCCTTATGCAAGAACTTCTCGAGGGCTGCCACGAGGATCCACTGTAAACGCCTGTTCGGCCCTGCACCCTCCAACACGTTTTCGCTTCTTGGACAGACCCTTCATCGATACCGCACTGAATGTATGTCAAGAAGAGCTGGATCATTCCGGACAGGGATGTTTCTCCTTGAATGCGCGACCCAGTGAAACTTTTTCAACAACTAGGAATGAAGTTTGATTTGGTCTAGCAATACCCGAGTTTGAGCGATCCCTGCCAGCGGTATTCTGCGTCTCGTCAATCGGCCACCAGGTGGACGAGGGGTCCGGGCCCGCTTTGATAATCATGAATGTGATTCGCGCGCTCTTGCTTCACGCTGGACAACCTCGCACTGCTTCACACTTGCATTTACCCAGAATCACCTGACTCGCTGGTTGCGGTGTCATAGTACATGATGATTTTCTGGATTTTGAAGACGTTTTCACGACTCGGAGGCCCCACTGCCCAACCTGTTGCAATCATCGTCAGAGAAGATTGTGATAACGCCCTGAGAGACTCAGGACACACCTTTATCACCATTGGCCCAGTTGTTCCAGACCAACTGGCCTGGCACGTTTGGAATATTGTTGGTGAAGTTTTTCTGGCAAACACCGTCTATGTAAAATGCTGTGAAGTCCGGGGTCCAGTCAATTCGATACTCATGGGTGTGAGTAGTGCAGCTAGATGGAGCCGGTCCGCTTTCACATGACTTGTCCATCTTTGTGGGATCTATGGCTTGGTTGGTGTACCAAAGAGGGATTGGAGCGTTGGGACCATTGTTTGCCAACGATGTCGGATCGGTCACGTATTCGATATCACATTCCTGAGTATCGTCCTTGTAGAAGAAGATCCCTGCCATTGTCAGATCACACAAACTCTGGTGAGATAGCTCGTACGGAAACAGACCATGGCAGGTGCCGGGCTCGGTGCTGAAGACAGCAGTGGTTCGAAAGCTCCCGTACAGAATTTTCTCCTCCACGGTCGTCACCTCTGCGCAGCTGACCGCGTAGCCAGTCTGCTTTGAGGGTTTCTGGGCTCCCGGAACTGCCAGGCGGAGGAATCCTCTGAAGCACCGAACGTTGGCTGGGTCAAATCGCTTGTTGAAAGGAATGCCGGTCCAATTCTTGCAGCGAACGGTGTAATTACTCTTCATGAGGCCCTCCGGCAGCGACTGTCCTTCAAATGTGTACACAGCTCGCTTGGAAAATATGCCAACCCCGGGCACCAGCCATCCATCACCGTCCGCTTTGACTTCATCGTGTCCGCTGGGATTCTTGATGTTTGAGGGCTGTGCCTCTGAGGTTGTAGTGGCATTATTTTCTGACATAGAGAGAGATCAGTCAGAAGGGTCCTGGTGTGATCGGATATGCCCCCATGTATCCACGAAAAGGCGGTGGTCGGGAGAGAAGGGATGGAGAGATCGGATGCCAAAATCTGCATAAATGAAGTATGCAGTGTCTCTGGAGGTGGACCGATATCAAAGATGGCACAAATGAAAAGCCCCTCACTGCAGCAGACTTTGTGACACCAAGATGCGTCACTTCGCGAAGTTTGCTTACCTGCCGTTAGCAGCGAAGGTCCCTGTGCCTTCTTCGTCCGACGTCTTCCACAGCAGTCAGCCACCACATCCACCCAGTTTCTCTTCGTTGGCGCTTCTGAGGACATGATGGCTCAAATATAGTTTAGGGACGGTAGGTAGAGATAGAAAATCTGCGGTAACATCAGCCGGTGTCAGAGCAGCTAAGCACCCTGGATGTGCAGTTGGCGAATGGGGGATTGATTACCTTGAGAGAATGGAAAGCAGTGCTTTGGATATGATTTTGAGGATTCAGATGCTGTTTGGCGTAGCTGCAAGATGCCTCTGTAGGATGAATATGTTTGGCGTCGAGAATGATGACCACGCCCGAGAGACTGCGCTTTCCACTCAAGTTCCTGGAGATCGAGAAGGAGCGAGACGATAGGACAGACTTCAATGGCTCATTTCAGAGATTCCATTTGACCTCGTAGCCGAAGACGGTTTTGCGAAGGGCTTCATCTCCAGGGTCGTTTTCAAACATGACTTTATCCATGGTTTGTTCCAATATCTTATTGACCACAAATCCGTCGACTCGAGCCATTTCGAAGAATTGGAGATCTTTGTCGAGCAGCCAAGGACGATAAGGCGTGAAAAACACCAGAGCGACCGACTCGCGCGTCTTCTTCAAGCAGTCACGGACAGTGGCCAGCAGTTTTGCATGCTCGGAGTGGTTGAACAGAATGTCGGCCAGGATCAATAGATCAAATCCATCAACATCGGGCAGGATAAGCGATTTCAAAGGGTCGACCGGAGCACCCCAAAGGAAACCCTCCGTTACAACGGTTGACTTGTCGAGTAAAGCCGAGCAGTGATCCACGTTGTAGCGCAAGTTCGCAACCAAGTCCTGGTCCGGATAATCTGTCACCACGACTCTCCTAGCTCCTAATATTGCAGCGACTAGGCTAGGTAGGCCAGCACCAGCACCCAATTCCAGCACTGTCTTGTTCTGCACGAGCTCTTTGGCGTTCTGTTCGAGGTACGTTGACACGACTTGACCTGCGTTCCAGAGTAGATGACCCTTGATGAGCGGTTAGCAAACCAAAAAGCTTTCCATAAATATGTACACGAATCACACCCAAAGAGGACTATGGCCGACAAGCCGTAGCGTAAGACGGTGGCCGTTTTTCAGGGTGTAGCTGGTGAAGGTGGGTGGCTTTTCGGGCTCGTAGAAATCGACAGGCTCTTGAAACATGTCAAGGGAGGGAGGGGAGTCCTCATCTTCGCCGCGCTCCATGGGCTTTTGTGATTAAAGTGACAGAAATGCTGGATAGGTCAATGAACGCCGCCGAATACGAACCATAATCTGTCATCGTGAACGGTTTTTCTATATGGAGCACTTTGCGCGACCAATACTCCACCGTAAAATCACGTCTATACGCTTCATGCTCCACCGTATCTTCAATACCAGCATCTTGAGTTTTGACTGCCCATCCATCATCCTGCTGTTGCGAGCTGATGCCCTGGTAGAACGAACTTTGAGAGTCTCGTGATCACCGCTGGATTTCATTAGATATCCACAATGAGGCTCTATCGCGAGGGGAGAAACTGGAATTATTAGGCCGAGCCTGGCAGCCCCGTGCCGATAATACGCCTCTACTTAACTCTCACTCGCAATATGGGTGGTAGTACCGCCACTTGATGCCCTGAGTTCGAGGAACGCAGAGAGGCTCCTTTGACGCTTGTGGACAGATGTCTATATAGCCTTCCAGAGCTGCTCTCCACGATTTTCAGTTCGGATTGTCTCAATGATGATGGTGATGTTTGTTGGTCGTCACGACCACGGTCTCCATCCGTCCCCGTCCTTTCCCGATACCTCTGGATTTCATGACCGCCATCTTGGCCGTCGTAAATGGTGTCAGATCGGCTTTCCTTGCGAAAGTAACATCAGGAATGGACTCAAGAGATATGGACCTGGCTTGGTTCAAGCCTGACCTCGGTGTCGCACGCAACTACGAGATACAGTCGATAAAAATACCTTCTGGGAAAAGGCATCGGAGCTTCTTGCGGCTAAAGTCGATCCTCAAGAATCTCGATACGCGTGTTCGACATGGTCCTCACCCCTTGGTGGCCGTACAATCCCACCCACGGGGTTGGCCCCCAAGTCTCAACTGAGCCTTCAGTAATGCAGAATAGGTCGAGGAGACACAGCGTTGTTCCCCAAGAGATCCAAGTCATCTGCTGGTCCGGCTTCCAGAGAGCAACGCAGCAGTCGTAAAAGGGCTCCAAGGTTCTTCGGTGTAAGCCGGCAGGTCTAGAGTGATACCTCTGGTACTGTACAGTAGCTGAATCGGCACAGCTAGAACCTCGTGCTCGTCGCCTGTCTGATGGTTCATCTCAGCTCTGGGCGATGAGATGTCTCTATTGGTTGAGACTCCTGCCTCTTTGCACATGTCCAAACAAGGTCTATGCGCAACCTGGAAGATCAATGCCATGCAATCATTTCTGATACCACGTGTCTCTGGATCGTCGCTGCGAGAGGTGGGGAGCTCGAGGCGGTGGGCGTTTTGGGGGAAGAATTTAGCCACACTTGTAGGTACTTGTATGTACATGGGTTCTCCAAGGGCCGTCAGCGACCTTTGGCGGGTCAACTACTGGGTAAGAATCGGAAGACATTAAATATCTCCCGACCAAGTCTGTCTTCGCCCACCGTTGGCATTATTGCGAGTTGATCGATGACGCTAAGGTAAGATAAAGGGCAGCCGAGAAAGGACGATGGTATCCTCGGTTCCTGTTCGTAGTGCCTAAGTGACCGGAATTCTGCAGGACGATGATGTGATGAGGAATTGCAGTTGCACGATCCTGTGGGAGGTACCTAGTGGTGGCCTGACTCAGGCAGGCCATTTACCCAAGCCCGCCAATTCCTCCCTTTGGTCTGTCTTTTGTCATGTTATGGGCCACCAGAGCAACTCCCAATCTGCGTGTGGAGCGTGTGGAGTCATCTCTTTTCATCGAAAGGCTGACCTCAATCCGTTCGGCATTCCCCAGCCAGGGTAAGGTTCGTAGCTCGGAGAGATCCCGTCGAAGGTCCGCGGAATCCAGCGCGAAGACTTGGTACCTAGGCACTCTGGCATATTGTTATCCTCAGCCGCCTCTCTAGCTAAACAATCGCTGGCCGGGGCAATGATAAGGCGGGGAGGGCGAACTATCGTACTTGTCCTCTTGGCCAGATGACCTCGGTAAGTGGCCTCCAAGGCACCGGAATGAGATTCTGCTAAGTGCAGTGGATGTGAGGATGGAATGGCCTCCTTTGGGCTGTGTGGTACTTTTCTTCACTAGGAGAACTCGGTACCTCGTACAGGTGATGGATGACAGATGATACATGAGAACGCTGGCCATCCACTGGTCAACCAGATGACCGGCAGATTGTCGGGGTCCGCAGAGAGGAAACGACGATAAAGAAAAGAGGTTGTTTTGGATCCCGCATCTGCCCGTTGTCTGCCATGCTGCGATCCCGTGATCCCGACATTCCGATGGGCTCGTCTCATTTGCCGCCTGCGCTGCGTTCTTTCTTGATGGTGTCGAATTTACTATTTGCCTTCCATCTCTTTTCACCTTTCTCCCACACTTCGACCATCTCTTCCCCTGATCTGAGCCCTTCATCTTGCATCGAGGGTTTTCCTCATTGTGTGGCCGCCCCATTTCACGACCAGGTCCCCCCACAGATCAACCCGGGAAAGCGTGCCTTTATGACATCCAATTGAAAACGCCCCGCATCACTCCAGACTCTACCAGGCTCCCAGGGCGGCACCATTCTGTCTCTCCCCCACGAACGGGCGATTTCACCAGCCAACCACGGCTTCAGTCGGCCTCGCCTTGGACTTTATCAATTGTGACATATCTTGACTCGGCCCCTTCTTGGGGTGGTCAGACAGTCTCCCAGTTGCCTTAAGACGGTCCGTTTCCGACCTTCCCCAGAAAGCGCAAGGCAAAAAACTTGGAGAAAGTCACATTTCAGAGTTGCCCGGCTCTGGTCGATCTCTCCAAATACCTATTTGACGCCCGCACCAATCCTCCGGCCCCCCGGCTTTTCTTGCGGCCAGGTCATTGTTACACTCACTTGGACTCTTTTTTCTTGTTACGTACCTCGTGTTCCTCTTTGCGCCTGATTCCATCCTACAGAGCCACGACCGTCGAACCCAACCTGCAACCCTTAGCAACCTCTTTGCAGTGCCTTTCGTTTCGCACATACCTCTAGCCGCGCGCTGTTTTCAGAAAAAGAAGGAGATAATTTCAACTGAAACAAAGCCGCTTTGTTGAGCGGTTACGTCTCTTTGGAACGTAATAGTCTCCCGCCCTGCGCCGACGGGTTGAGGCTCAAGATGAGCAACCATCCGCGGCGGAGTGCCCGACTATCATCACATCTACAGCCAGAGCAATTCCAGCAAAGAAGCAGTGGCCGTTCTCCTTCTAGCCTTCCGAATAACTATTCGCAGCCCTCAAGTGCCTCGACGAGTTCTCACCCAAGTCCTGTCAGTGACACTCTACAGCCTCCGCCACCTCCTCCTACTCCTCAACACCCGCAGCATCGCATTCAGATACAATCACACTTCATGTCTCACCAACAGCAAGGGCACCCTCATATTCACGCTCCGTTGCCTTCGCCTTCAGCCGCACACATGGGCCCATTTTTTGGTGGGCACTATTCGCAACCGAACTCATACGCAGCGCAGCCCATGCACCAGGGTTATCAGGGGCAACAGACGTTTGGCGACCAACAATCCCAAACGCATCAACAAGAGCAACATCATCAT